CTACCTTTGTTTACGTCTTAGGTATGACGCGGCGCCGCGAACGAGAATCGAACCCGGGCCTCCCGATCACGAAGCGAACGCTCTACCACTAGGCTACCGTGACCGGTAGATAATTTATGTAATTTTAGATTATATAAATATATTTTAATAATTTTATTTGTATTTTGAGTGACCATTGCCTTTTTGTTTAATAATTTAAGATTAAATATCAGTGTCATTTCGAAAAAAAAATTTTAATTGAAACTAGGTTAAATCATCGATATATTTACTATAAAGTGTCACTAGATTTTGGCATAGATTTGTACCGACTTATAAGTGGGTCAATAGTAAATCCCACCAAAATAACGTCAAAACATACAACCGACTTATAGGCGGACCGACTCATAGGCGAGTATATATGGTATTGATACACCTTACACAAGGAAAACTTCTATGTATTTGATATGCTTTTATACACATAATAATTTTGATTTAATTTCAAAAATATTAAAATGGCCAAGTGCAGACTTTACAAACTTTATTTTCTTTCATATTCCATTTAAAGCTAAATTCAAATTTTAAGATTTTATCAGTTTACATTCTTAATAATTCTTCAAATCAACTTATTCACTAGTTGTTCACTCAATATGTATTTTTAAAAAGTATAGCACTTTATCCCCAATATTAATAAATAAATTACTTCACACTAATATTTGTACATATCACAACTACATAAGAATAATAATAATACAGGTAATAATTAAAAATACGAAATTTTTTTTATCCATGTAACTTCTCTTTAATATTTTTTTTTTCTGGGCAACAATTTTTGTCTTACATGTTTGAAATCAGAAAATCTTAATTTGATCAAATTTGGAAAAAAATTCAAGTTTGCGCAAGTATAACAGTGAAATCGCCTGAACGAAACACAGTTGTAAAGGAACATCACACACGTATTATAATAAAATTCAAACTACAAAAAAAAAATGGAAATAAGGAGTTGAATGTCACTGAGACCTCTGTTTATGGCTGCTAAACTAAAGCTTGACAGTTTTATGTGAAGGATGACAAAAGAGTCACAAAATATATATATAGGTGTATGTAAAGAAATGTTCTAACTGCAAAGAGAAGTAACTTTTCTCTATTTTCATTTAGATTAAAAATGTTTCCATAAATATACTGGGTACATTGAATAGTGAAAAAGTTGCAAATGTAAACTGTACATCTAAAAGTTAAAGGCTATGTGATTGAAATCATTTTGATTATAGAAAATTGTGAAAAGTATATACCGGTACGTATCCATTGTAAAGAAATTTAGGGCAGTCACTTTCAAAAGTTATTTAAGGAATAACTGTCAAGTTAGTAGGGTATGCCAGGACATCAATGATAGTTGAAAATGTGGGATAATTTGTGTAACAAGTGAAGCTAACTAAGTAGACATTGATTCCTTATAAAATTGTAATTTAAAAATATAAACTAATAGATTCAAATTACACGAGGCCACCCGTGTCAATTTCAATAGCCCCACCTATTGATGTCAAAAACAGCCGCACAAGATTTATATGCATTGGACCTCCTTAGTGCCAGACACAAAGACAGATGCCAGATTGGAAATATTGAAATTGATTGTTAATACTAGCCTAAGGCACCCTAATGATTGTTGACATACAGATATACAAGTATCATTTTGCAATGCTTCATACAGAATTTGGATTTAGGCATTTACTATCTACATGTCAATTCAACAAAAAATTATTTTCATGTATTAAAAAGATATGAGTTGAATTTAAATATTTTCTGTTACACACATGTATGTTGATGTAGCTTGTAAATGAAACACTTCTAGCACACATGTGTTTGTTTCCTTGTCTTTTCTGTTAGTACTAAGGAAAGAAATGTTTTTGAACTATTATTTCATTCCAATGATTCAGAAATTAAACTTAGTAAGTAGAATTTTTATATCTATCATAAGCCATAAAAAATTTAAATACATGCATTTCTAATTCTTCTGCATTCTACACAGGGAATCTTCAGTTGAATATGTATTCCACCTTCTTTAATATTGAATTAACATTAATTCCACTGAGAAAAATTAGATTGCAATGCAAATCTAATTTTTTGGTACGATGTTTTTTCCCTATGTCTTCCATTTTTTTTAAAAAATCTAAATTAACATATCATCTACACAGAAAATTGTGTAAGTTTGTCCATCATGTTCCAGAAATTAAATGTTTTATGATCTATGAAGTATACAATATATTTGGCAATGCATGTTTTTTTTTTAATTTATTTTAGTAAACAATTTATTTCCCCCTTCAGAAGCAGACTGTTAGGTCTATAAGAATTGCATTGTTTACATTTGATTTCCAGGAATAATTACCAATTTTACAAACTGTAAACAATATTTTGAATTCGTTTAACTTTAATTTTAAGGTACTCTCTAGACTATTGGGGTGGGTGTTATCTTGTTACCTACTTTGCTTCTTTTCACAAGTTGCAAGATAAACAAATAAAACAGCTTCAAAGCATTTTAATTTTCTAAAGTGTTTTTTGTTAAATTATAAATTTTAACAGGCACATTTGTCATTGTATATTTATAGATAATATAACTATATACATAAAAGTTCAATAAATACTGCAGTATGCCAATAGCTAAAGGTAACCCTAGTATTTATTTTTTGAAAGAATTTTTTTCAATTATAAAGTATGACTAGAGGCTTTTGGCTCTTCAGCCTCAGGTTTCAGTTTCCAATTTTTGTAGCTCTAAAAAGAATTGGGTTCTATTTTTTCATAATATTTATTTTGTGTGATCTCTTGATAAAAAAAACAATTAGAGCAAGTTATTAAGTGAGTATATTATTTCTCCAAGGGTGAATCCAGGATATATCTTTGTACTCTCATGTCATCCAGAACTTGTGTATTTTTTCTTATATATCCCCTTTTATAAATATTTTTTTTTGTTAAAAAAGAAATAAATAAGACACTTTCACATTTTAAGGTTAATTTAAAAAGTTGTCCATATAATTTTGAAGCGATATAAACAAAAATAAATCGATAAAAATAACCTAATTGCAGACTTATTAAGAACAGGTGCGTGTGGTGGATTTTGATCCGCTCCCGGTTAAAAACAAAAATGGCGTCGTATAGCAGACGCTTCGCACTCGTCGTAATTTTCGTGAAATACTGCGAGTAGAAATATTATCTTGGATAATTTCGTTTAGTATCATTGCATGCAGGAAAATATTCATTCGATTTTCACCAAAACATGACTGATTCTGTCAGGAAAGTGGAATTCTAGTCGAAAATTCTATGGCATATCCTGTCGCACGACTGCTTTTTTGTGTGCTTTCCAAGACTTGATATATCACCGGTGAGTTTATAAATTCTAAACAACCTTTTCTTTCTCCCAGACGATTAGTGGTTTGAAAAAAATATGTAATTTATGCATCTTGCGAAAAAATTACAAATAATTAACGTTTGACAGATTTTTAAACGTAAAAACGAAAATCGGCAATAATGGGTACTCGGCAATAATGGGTACTCGCACGTTAGAATGTAAATTGATTAATAAACATTTTCTCTTTCAATAAATTCAACAAATCTTTCACTTAATGTACAGTTTAACTCATTCTATAGAAAATGTTCACAAGTTACATTTTGTATAGAATTTAAAAAATGAAAATGAAAATGAAAACAGAATGTGTAAATGTACACGCATATTTCCGAGTCAGAATAATTCTAAGAGCATCCTAATGTATTCATGTTATTTAAAATCCCAATCTTCAGATAAATTATACAACTTATGATTAATATAATACGAGAACCCAATCTTTTTTAACAAAAGGCCCACGGGCCTTATAAGTCACCTGAGTACCTTGTAACAACTTTCCAACAATTGAATTTGGTTCGTGAAATTCACAATTTTGAAAGAGGCGCTTATTATAATTATAAACGTAACATGCTTACTCTTTTAACTTAATACCCAAAGGTAGATAAGAGTAACAAAGAGAAAATGTACTTCCACTTCATAACCAGTTGTGCAACCCTACCCAAAAGGAACAACTGATCCTGAGGCCACATATTTCAAAATGATGGAAATTTTTCATAAATTCTATTTTAGCATAAATGGTTGATTAATACCAAAAAGCAGATTTAAAAGCATTAATTTATTTTCAGACTATGCAACCCCTACTCCACCCCGAATCTCTTAAGCCAGGGGGAATGAAATTAACCATTTTCTAGATGCACTTTTCTTCATCATAAAATATATACTTGGACCATTGGAATAATACCAAGGAGCAAAGGAAAAGGTGTTCAAAGAATTAAAGTATTTTCACTATTTAATCTCGCCCCCCCCCCCCTTACACCAAATGGCAAAACCTCTGACACAGGGGCCATGAAATTCACAAATTTGGTTCATGCACACTTGCTCATCATATCTATTTACTTAATTAGTTTATTTAATACCAAGGATCAGAGAAGAAGATTTTCAAAAAATTAATGCAGTTTCACTATATGATCAATAGAGTCCCGCCCTAACACCAGAACCCCTGACCCTGGGGCCATAAAATTCATAGTTTTGGAAGAGACACTCTTGCTCATAATAACTGTGCACTTTAAGTTAGTTCATTTAATACGCATAAGCAGAGAAGAAGATTTTCAAAAAATTAAGGCAGTTTCACACACTATATAATTAATAGAGCCCCGTCCTAACACCAGAACCCCTGACCCTAGGGCCATAAAATTCACAATTTTGGAAAAGGTACTCTTGCTCGTCATAACTATATACTTAGTTTATATAATACCCAGGAGCAGAGAAGAAGATTTTCAAAGAAATAATGTATTGTCACTATATAATCTATATAGCCCCCCCCCCCCAGCACCAGAACCCCTGACCCTGGAGCCATGAATTTCACAATTTTGGTAGAGGACTCGCTGATTAAATTCATGCCAACAGTTTGCCTGCTTGATGTTCAGGAGTAAAGAAGAAGATTTTTAAATATTTCATTAATTTTAGTGGTCAGACCCCACGGAGCAGGGGCAATAAAAATTTACAATTTATGTTTCCCTTCATCCATAGATGCTGTATACCAAATCTGGTAGAAATTGGTTCAGCGGTTTTAGAGAAGAAGCTGAAAATGTTCAAATGTTATCACACAATGCACGACGGGGACGACAACGGACGAAAACAGATAGCAATAGGTCACCTGAGTGACTTAGGTGACCTAAAAAGTGCAATTTCATAACTAAGACACATTCTAACTTTGGTGGGTGGTGTGGATATGTGGGGTAGGATTTATTCTCAGGCTAGTTTACTGTCAAAACTACTCAGTGCTATTCCAAAAGCTTGAACAGCACAGAGAGGGTAATTAAAATCCATGGTAAACACGTCTTTCGCCACTCGACCAAATTGCATCACAATGTATTTAACTGAAAGCAAAAAAATAAAAGAATAGAAAAATCAGATTCAGTAGAAATATTCGAGTAAGAATAAATAGTGCTTTTTTTCTTTAAAATAAATAACTTCTTCAAAAACATAACATTCTATTAAAAATTAATCTGCAACACTTCGATAATCATTGGTGAAATGAAAATATCATAATGAAATTCCTTTATAATATTCATCGGATATACATGTAAATGAACTCTCGCCTTCACAGTGCATGTATTCATGTCATTTAAAAAAGAAAAAAAATGATGACATTGACAAATAATTCCTCCTGATACCTAATCAATATTGCTGAGTGAAAAAAATTGAGTAAATTTACGGGCTTAAGCAGCATGTTCTTACCGTCATTGTCATGCACAATTCGGAAATTCTTCACAGAACCCTTGGTGACTCGTCCATGGAAATTTAGCACGTGTGATTGAATCTCTACAACAAAAAAGACACAAAAAATGTTTACATAGCTGTTACTTCAATAATATGACTGCTTTTCTTAAGTCACTTGAGTTTACTCATGTGATATGTTGCTCCCTGTTTTCGTCTGTCATCGTGTGTTGTGCGATTTGGGTTAAACATTTGAAACCACGTAACCAAAATTGGCATGTAGCAACTAGGAGTAACAGGGAGCAAATTCGTGATATTTTTTTCCTGGTTCCTGTGCCTTTTGTGCCTAAGGGGAAGGACAAAAGACACTAAATCATTTTTTAAAGTTATGGACATAATGAATAGCCACTGCTTCTGGGTTTTGAAGCAAGTACACTAAATGCTTACTTATGATAAAAGAGTGTCTCTTCCAAAATTGTGAATTTCCTGGCCCTTGGGCTAGCTAGGGGTGCTTGTGTTAGGGTGGGGATATAATGATTATTTAATGAAAATTCATTAATTCTTTGAAAATATTCTCCTCTGCTTCTTCCAAAATTGTCAAAATGTGACTCCAAGGTCAGAGGTCCTGAAGTAAGGACGGGACTCTTCTGATAATGTAGTAAATATGCATTTATTCTTTGAAAATCGTCTCCTCTGCTCCAGGATAAAATAAAACTGATAATCTAAGTATATAATTGTGAGGAGGGAGGGTGCCTCTTCCAAAATTGTATTAGATATGCCCTTCCCCCTGGCTTAGGGGTCTCTTGGGATGAGGGGCTTAAATATTCTTTACTTAAAATGAATTATTCCTTTGTAAATCTTCTACTCTGCCCCTTGGTATTAAGCAAACAAACTAAATACAAAGTTACGATAAGTAAGGGCGCATCTTTTAAAATTGAAATTTTCATGGCCCCTGGCTTGGTATTTGGGTGGGGCTATATTGATCATATAGCCAAGTGCATTAGCACTTTGCAAATATTCTTCTCTACCCTTTGTATTAAGGAACTCTAGTTGTGGATCTGGCAGTGAAAAGTGAAAAAAGGGTAAATTTTCATGAAATTTTGAGATCTGTAGTACAATTGATAACGATGTGTTGAAATATGTGTATTCCAATACTAAGCCGACTTTCATTCTGACGACATACCATTGTTCCAGACAGGGGTCCTGTTATGGAGTTCCACTATATTCTGCATATTTTTCCGTTTGTATCTGTTAATCAAGCCATCAGAATCCTGCAAAACAAAAAAAAATATTTATCCTTGTTGGAATCTTATTTGTAGTATAACGCATAGTCTGACAGGTGAATAAATTTCAAAACAAGGATTATCTATGGCCCGAATAATCCCACTAGATTGATTGTGAATGTCTGTTGAGCATGGCCGTCATGGTAGCTCAGTCGATAGAGCGCTCGCTCCATGTTGGGAAAGTCGTGAGTTCGAATCTCGGCAACGACTGATCTAAGTCGATAAAAATGGGTAGCAACTGTTTTTTCACAATGCGCTCAGCACCTTGAATTGAAAGTTGCGGGTCCTGCGCATAAGACCTTAAAACCGAGACCTCGTGTCACGGTAGACGTTGGCACGATAAGGATCCCTCACTGCACAATAACTGTAAGTGTTCAGAAAAGGTTAAAATTTAAAGCTCTTCAGTGGTTTCTGTATGAGTGAAATTTTCTCGAATTGAACGTTCTGCTGAGTATGTTTCACCTTTAATTAAATAACATTCAAGAATGAAATTATCAAATACCACCAAGAGTTAGTTAAAACACTTTATAAATACCGATAAGAGAAGCTAATTTAAAATTTCAATTTCCTTATTTATAAAGTTTTCATCTTCTCCCTCTATCTTAATTTCTATAACGTGTAGTATACTGTAAAAGCACAAAATATTCGTGGGGGATTAAATTTCTTTTATTTCGTTGTTAACAATTATCGACGAAAAAAAAATCCCACACGAAATTTTATTTGACTATACATTGAGTAGGGTTACTTTCAAAACAACGAAATTAAATACCAAAAAAAAAACTATTTTTGATGATACATCAACAAAATTTAATCCCAACAAAAATGTGTGATTCTACAGTATTTGATAACAGATTGTTTTAAATCCAAAAAGAATGTTTTAAGGATAAATTTAGAAAAGAATTGGTGGCTCATCTAGAATGTGTTTCGACTTTTATCCACTATGCAACTCAGAATTTGTGTACAAGCTCATAAATTAAACATTCTGAGAGTATTGCATGAGCAATTTTAGCCCCCCAACTTGCAAATGTATTTTGCATTCCAACATGAGTAAGAAGATCTTATTCCCTCAAAAATCAATGAAGTTAAATAAAATAAACTTGATCTGTAACTCCTCAAGGAACACTCATATTCAAACAGAAATCAGTTCAATATTTCCAATCAATAAGAAAGAAGCAGACAGAGGGATGAGGAGGAAACTTAAAGTTTCTTCCGGTTCTAACAGTATTGGACCAAAACTCTGACAAAGAGGATACACTTAACTTTTTTTCGATTCACACTAAGTCAGTTTTTTGTTTTCACGAGACTTACAGATCCTGGCTTGATGTCTACTCGTTTGTGATCTGAATTCATTCCTGGAATAATAATGGTCATTCTTCTGGGTCCCATAAAAGCTAAGACACTTGTTTCCTGCAAAACAATGAGTTATACTTTTCTGATTATTATTTTCTGATTAGTACTATTTCCTGAGTTTTCTCTTTGCCACTGTCTTTTTGAGCACAGTGTCATAGGCTGTGACTACATAGTTCGGCGGTTGAGACGTCATACCTAAGTGATTAAGAGATTGAAAAACGTTGAACATAGAATAAACTTAGAGTTTTAACCACATATGTGGAGAAACTTTTAGTCTCGTTCAGCCGGAATGTTCGTTTATTCTCCCCAACCTAACAATCTTGATAAACCACAGTTTCTTTTGAAGGGAAGGAAAATCTCGAGTTTTGTTACTCTTCTGATATTCTCTAACACCATGCAAATACAATTTTCATATCCTTTAAGACTGTGTCAGAATATAAATTTTATTTAATGAATAAAACATAGTAAGTATTTCACAGTTGAAAAGTCAAAAATACGAATGTGGAAGCCAGCAGTCGTGTTTATATTGTATTTTCACTTTTATTCTTATATAAGGCTGTGACATATATAAGAAAATTATTTATCATATAGTTAGTAGTAAATACACCGACTCTGCAAGGTGCGATACAGGTGACGTCACATTACCATATATCAAAAACCGGTTCGAAAATCGATATCACGTATTGAACTCACATATTAAGTATTTTAAATATATGATAGATATAATACTACATACTAAAATCCATGTCATATGTCATATCAGCCCTCGGGCCACATATCAATCCTTGGGCTTTCGACCTTTGGGCTGATATGGGTCCTCTCGGGCCACTCTATATATTCTCTATATTCTTACGTAAATAATTCCAACTAATTCTTTTCTCGCGTTTCCATAATTGCTTTTCGGGCTGTCACCATTGTCAAACAAAGTGAACTGTGTTCCTAATAAGTTGGTCCTACAAAGTACAATAAGGAATGTAAAATCCTGGAAAAGTAATTACATCAGGAACCTGTATAGTGAAGGATTACAAAACGTAATTTATGCACATCTTTTTATCTTGTGTCTATGTAAGAAATTTATGCAGAGACACCTCAGGAATATTATGCTACAATATATTTGTGAAAAGGGGGAAAATCAGATGTGTATACTTAAACATTCCTTGGAACTCTTGGAAAAATTGAAATTATTTTTTGAAAGAAAAATAACAACATGAAACGTACGACTTTTCAACTTTATATGCAACCATTACCCATGATATATTATAGCTGCAGAACTTTAGCTCCCCGAAAAAAAATATGTCAGACCAGAGAGCTCCAGTGCCACACATTGAAAAAAAAAACTGTGTATTTATTGGGCACATAAAGCGAAATTTCCCAATTTATTTCTCCATGTTTATAAACTGTCATCTCAAAATATTACATACTGTGTGTTCCTAACATATTATTCTTTCACTGTTTCCAAAATAAAAATTACTTATAATTGTTGTTAATAGCCCTCCTTGCCCTGAAACTGAAATCATCGGAAATTTCGTCTCTTTATACTGCCATTTTGGTTTCAAGATAATTCGGTCCGACACTCTTACTGCAGATGTCGACTATGAGAGTACTTGATATAGGAATAAGGAATTTTTTGAAATCTATATATTTTTCGCTTTGAAGTAAAAAGAAGTGCGAACGATAGTATTGTTCTCCCGCCTACCTCCAAGACAATTTTCAAAAGTTAACATATTTGAAGATTTTTTAATATTTTTTTTATAGATAAATATATGGATTTTCATAAAACATTACTTATTCGGGAAAACAAAGAGAGATAACTTTAAAATTTTGGTAAAACTTGTGCTTTTCACTATAGAAATCAACGGAAAATGGAAAAAATTTTAAAAACATCTTTCCCCCCGTGTCATAAAAATTCCTTTTTACAGGTAATATGGAATGTTATTTCACAAATTCATATCAAAGCTTTTTGTGTGACGCGGGGGGAACATATGTTTATTGACAAAAGCGATAAAAATGCTAATTTTCCACCAATTTGAAAGCAATGTACAACGGAAACAGTCTATTTTATTGATATATTTATGTTTTACTTATTTGCCTAAAACATAAGAAAAGATATAAGGAACATTTAATCATATCCAAGACTATTTCAAAAAATGGTGATGCTTGAAAACTCCGATTTCAATGGAAAATATCGTCTACCCCCCTTTTTTGAAGAGCTGGAATTATGGATAACATACTGTTTAGCACTGGTATGAAGACAACTCATCAATAACCATTGAACTGTTCTTTGTATTAAACAAACATTTTATGGCCAAACTGCTATTTATATTAAATTCAATGGTTACAAAATGAAGGCGGGAATCGGAGTTAGCTTGCGTGTTTCTTTGGAAGAATTGATCCAGAACTAAGCGCAACTTTTTGTGCCCAATAGTTATACAGTTTTTACAATTTGTGGAACTGTAGCTTTCTGGTCTCTCATTATATTTTGTCTGCGAGCTACAGTTCTCCAGCTAGATAAATTAAAGCCCTGTCATTTTTATATCAATGGCAGCTGCTTTTTTAATGAGAAATGAACCTCGTAGATAAACTTACATTGTCAGTAGTCATTTGCAAAATTACTTTGTTTAAAAGCAATCTGATTGAACCACAAGTACTCTGGAGTTGATATTAAAAAGGTTCTTGAGTTTCTAATTGACAATGTCTTTGTGTTTTTTAACAATCTTTTTGAATTCCCATGGTAACTAATCGCGCACCGTTATCAACCTATTTTGTATTCATATAAAACAGAATTTATTCAAAATCTAATGGTTACAATAAAGCTTTATGATAAACTCAATGATTTTAACTTTATAATCGTCAACTTCCTACATTATGCAGCAATAATCCAACATCACTGGCATAAGGCATCGAATGCCTTCGATGCGTAAGAGAGATACTCTAAGTATGAACAATTTCTAAAATGAAGTAAATTATTGACAAACAATTGATGAAAAGGAATATCAGGAATCTCGTATAAAGTCATAATTTTGTAAGTTCTATGTCGAGACAATGATTTTGTAAGCAAATATACAATTTATCGTTAACTCATATCTGAGTGGTGTTTCCCTATTTGAAAAGGGGCTTGGGGGTCTGTGTTTGCTCTGCTCCTAACTTGTATTGTGTAATGGACTTTTGGGCTTGGTTACTGTTTGTTATTTCTAAAATTTCCTATATGGGAAATCAATTACTACCGTACAGTTCGACAAATTCTTATGACACTTTACATAAGTGACATCATTATTATTTAGAATTAATGAAAACGAATTTATTAAATCTTTGAAAGACAAAAATGTTCTCAAACAGGACATTTTCACCAGAGGACAGGAATATAATTATGGGAAAAATAAGTTCCTGCAGATAAAAAGTGTTTGCTATATAATCAACAGTATATCAAACTTTTGTAAGTTTTTGACAAGGGAGGTAAGTGTTACCTGAGTTTTCCTACGTAGGCCTTGCCTCCCCTTGACAGATCTGTAGGGTCGGTGGAGATCAGGTAGTTTGAGGTTTTACTCTTCTTCCTCTTCCTACCAGCCAGTAAAAACACCTAAAAATACCTTTATTTTTAAAAGTATCTACATTTAAGTACCGGGTATGCACAAGGGAAATCCTTTTAATGAAACTGTGATCATCCAAACCTATATTAATTTAGTAAACTTCAAATCCGTACTCTTAATTTTGCAACTCTGTGATCGATACAAATCAAGTGGTTTAAGAGATGAATAGGAACCGAATTCTGTTTATATGTAAACATATCAGACTGCTTGAGGCCCGTAACGGCAAATAACATTGACACAGACATAAATTATTATACCCCCGCTTGAAAAGCGGTAGGGTATTTAGTAATCGGTATGTCCGTCCGTCTGTCCGTCCGTCCGTTTCACAGAATCTTGATTACATACTACCATTGTGCACCTCCTATTTTACTTTTTGATCTGACACATATTTTGGATTTTTCAGATAAAAACATGGACACTGACATTATATTCATATGGGAGGTGGGGGATATTATTAAGAGAGCTCAAAGTACCTCTAGTTTATTTATTGCAACAATTCAAATCTCCTTCATACATACAAGCTGGCATTGGTAAAGCTCGCCACTTTCGCGCTATGACGTTAAACGTTACTTGGTTAACAATGATATGAATTTTTGTTCTCAACTTATTCTACTTAAAAACAATTTTTCATGTGGTAGGGAATACTTTTTTGTTAACATAAAAACCCACTCAATATGTTTTGCCTGCGTGGCGCAGGTGTTAGAGCATCTGCTCTCGAGTCGCGGAACAAAGAGCTGATCCTTTTGTCGCAAGATCAATTCCAAAGTGGGACGTGGTTAACGGTTCTTCGGATGAGATCGTATAAACCGAGGTCCCATGTCGAAGAAGATGCTGACACAGAATAAGATCTCTCACTGCTCAATTGATCTAGCTTCATAGGAATAAGTTTAAAGTCGTTCACTGGCGGGTCAAATTATGACGCCATTTTTTTCCTACGCAAAGTTATACAAGATATTTAAGAAAAAACTTCGGTGCAAGGGCATATCCTGTTTATTCGACTTTAATTATGTATAGAAAAAAAGTGAAAATTGCTGCAACCACTATTGAAATAACGACCACTATTGAAATAATTATATCAATAGTGGTTGAGAGTGCATTTCAATAGCAAACATAGTTAGTAACCACTATTGAAATACGACCGCTATTGAAATAATTATTTCGATAGTGGATAAGATTCATTTCAATAACAAACATAGGTTCCAACCACTATTGAAATAATATTCACTTTTGAAATAAAGATTTCAATATGGATTAAATTATGGTTTTAGTTTTAAAGTATTATCAATAACAATCAAAATATTTATTATAAACACTTTTGAAATTATTATTTTAATAACTATCTAAATTTTCATTTAAGGACAGATGATACAAATGAAATATGGATGCCTGAATTGTTATATATTTTTTGGTCCGATTTCATTGAAAATGATGCAAATAATAAATTTCTAGAATATAAAGAAATTGTAAACCTCCTTTGAAGTTCTTAGAAGTTCAAAATTCTGTCTCACTAAAACAATCCTTATTAATTTATTCATTCCAAATCCAATTTTTGTGAAATTTTGGAGACAAAATTAAAAATTACGCTGTGATACTTTTCTTTCAATACTGGTCGTATTTCAATAGCTGAAACCTATGGTTATCATATTGAAAGCGCTCTTTCCACTATTAAATAATTATTTCAATAGTGCTCGTATTTCAATATTGGTTGAAACCTATGGTTATTATATTGAAATGCACTCTCACCCACCATTGATATAATTATTTCAATAGTGGTCGTATTTCAATAGTGGTTACTAACTATGTTTGCTATTGAAATGCACTCTCAGCCACTATTGATATAATTATTTCAATAGTGGTCATATTTCATTAGTGGTTACTGACAATGTTTGCTATTGAAATGCACTCTCAACCACTATTGATATAATTATTTCAATAGTGGTTGTTATTTCAATAGTGGTTGCAACAAAGGTCTATACTTATCCTCATTTAACTTTCGTAAAATTGTTTACCTAAGAATACATTATATACTCGTATAATAAGTTACTCAAGACAATCAGACTAATTTAAATATAACAGTTAGGAAGATTTGATTAGTCTGATATATTTGAACATCATCCAATAAATGGTATCTAACCTCTTTGCCATCAGCTTTTTCCAAAAGAAGAAAGTATGTTGGAGAAGATCTACCATTAGCTTTCTTGTCTCGTATGATCTTACACTCCATTACATGACCTTGAGGCGCTGGTCTCAGCACAAAACTATTAAAGTTATTGGGTTCTAGTGCTTCTTCTCGAGCCATTGCACATTTTGCAACATCTTCCTGGACATTGATCTTGTAAAAATATTGATAAATATTAAACTAAATACTCATTATTTCATTAAAAAAAATTTTAAATGTATGGAATCCATTTATATTATTCACTATAACTTTACTCACATTGCTGTATTAAGAAAAAACGTTTGTGCTAAATTCATGTAGTAGTACGTTAAATATCATAATTTTTAAAACCTAAGTGCTAGGGTTTCCATATTTATCCTGATATGCTTGTTAAAACTGGCAAAAGTTTTTATTATATGGAGGATTTAATAGTAAAAAAAAAAAATCAAAATTCAACATTTCATTTTACTGAAAGATTTCAGTCAAACTTATTTCTCAGTGATCTAGTTTAAGTTCTCGCATTCTTCTGAAATCATTAAATAAGCGTAAAGAAAGAGGTGGAATCCGCTTCTAAGCTTACAAGGCACATCGACTTTTCTTTGATGGAATATTTCTGTCTGTCTATAATCATTCTTAAGTAAGAAGAATTTAATTATAGATTAATAAATACCAAATACATACCGTCTGATATTCTGATGGCATATATTCGTAAAGGGAATCGTAGACATGGAAATCTTCATCTCGACAGATTTGAGTATAATTTGATTCTGAGTCGGTAAATATATGTCCCCGATGTTCTACTTCTGATGCACATTTTGAACATACTGGAGTTTGACATTCATCACATTCATCACAGAACATGTCCAATTCTTTAGTGGGGTGGATTTTGCATTTCTCCACAGGAAGTTGCCGTTTGCGCTGTTGGTAAAGGACCACCCCATGGTTCTTGTTTTCTGGACTTTTCAGATGCTCATCTCTGCACTGTTCACAAAATTTTTGATGACAAGGATTGCAATAAAATTCACAATTTCCCTCACAATTTTTAGTGTCACACTCTAAAATATGTTGGGCCATTCTTGGAATATCCATTTTATGGAAAGCCATCTGAAATTATTAGAGTTTTTTTTATATACTAACAGTGAAAAAGTTAAAAGGGAATTGCAACGGGAATTGCAACGGGCAAAGGGTTGCAACCTTCTCTCTGTTTTTGGTTTTTAAAAAAGACGTGAAAGAGATAGAGAATTCTTTATATATATGCGAATGAATTTTTAATAAATATCAAATTTTTTCAGGACTATTAAATCATTCTAATTTTTAAGCTTATCCCGAGAAGAAAGGCATCAACTCATATACTTCATATACTCAGGATAACATGTTTCTTGCTTTTTGGCCCTTTTGTTATCACCATTTCCTTTTTAACATGTACATTGTTTTAATATTTAAACTAGTAATTATTGACCGGGCTACTTTTGCCATGTAATTAGTCATACTTGTATATGTATCACGTGACTAGTAAACATTGTTTTAATCGTATAATGTATACTTTAACAAGTTTATTGTTCGTATAATTATGATCTTTAAGCACAGCTAAATCATTGATATATAAGTTTGAGTAATACTCGTATGTTAACGTAGTTATTTTGTCATTTGTTAGTCATATATTGGTTTTAATAAAATACACTTTCACATATTTAGAGGTTTTTTTTTTGTCATTCGAATACAGAATGTTTAGCAAAAACAAGCTGTGAAAAGCCAGTTTTTCTTCCTCTTATTTCGAATAGAAATATGGATAAATGTTATTTTCTATTTCAACAGGTTCTTATATAGTTTAAGTTGAAATAAAACGAAAAGAACCTCTTTATTCAAAATAAAATGATCGTCCGAGGAATGTGGCTAAAAATTCGTTGTATATTTGAAATTTTAAAGAAGGAAATATACGCATAATGAATATAAAATTAAATAAAAAATCAAAATAAAAAACAAGGCGTGTATTAACGTTATAAACTAATTTTTAGTAAGTACTTAAATGATAGAAAAAACCCATTGAAATTTATTTAGTATCATGTCTTCATACATAAAACAAATTCACACAATCCTTTGAATGACATATTTAAATTTGTGCGGCATAAAATTACACAGTAATATTTGTAAATCACTCAAATTAGATAACCACGTTAATGTTTTGAAATACAAATACTGTGACTAAATGATACCAGGATAACCCAGATTATTTTCAATTGTAATGGAAGTCCTTTTAAAATAAAATTAACGAAGTTTCCTCCTAAGGTAATCAATGTAAAACTTCCATATTTTGTACTTAATAAATAAATGGTGTAAAATGATTAATCTTCTTAGCATTTTAAAGGTGGTATGAGATAAACATACGCCACCAAAGGAATTTACAAAATTTTTATATTTGTCAAATTTATTGCACCATAAATTTTACATTGACGTCCATGGGCAGCGTATGTTTTATTTAGAGATAGTTAAAAAGTAATTTGAATTTCATTTAATTTCTTTACGAATATGTAAAAAAAATTATCTTTTTTTATTATAATATGAAATTATGAATAATTTACCACAAATATTTTAACACAATTAAAAGGTTCTTTTCATCAAGGACAAGTCTTTCCTAAAATATAAAAAAAATCAGGTGCAAAATGACCTATTTTTTATTTGTTATCGGTTCATTTCACTTTCGTCTTGATCTAGCAAATTTGTATTTCTTACTAGTTTAAAACGATTCGAGATCGTTCAAAATCCCTTCATTTTACAATAAATACCTTAAAGCCCTGTTTTATTTTTTTTTTCTACGAAAGTGCATGCCTAAATTAGTTAGAAAACATTTTGATCACCCGTCGTAATTTATCTATTAATCAGAACCCATTTCTTCATTGTTATGATAAAGCTATTACTTTTTTTGAATTTAAATTCATGACATGTATAAAATAATAAATCGATATCACAATTATGTTGTTAATATTGCTGTGATCTACATGGAAAAACTTCATTACAATATACGAATACAATAATAAAATTTATGCATTTTAAAAAATAAAATCTGTCTCTAAAATTGCAAAAATCCACATGTTTCATTTATTTTAAGCCCAGATTTGATTTAAACTCAGCGGGGAGTCCACCTCTCTGCCTTATCTGTGCCAGCATTTTACTTTGCCGTCTCTGTCGTTTAATGAGTTATATTTTTACGAATAATATTTATGAAATTAAGTTGTTCTTATTTAATATTGTGTGTCAATACCTTATTTAAGACGTATCTTTTTATTTTTTAATACCTTTCATACGGTTTTGTGGGTTTAACTGAGTTTATATTAAGTGTGTCCGATATACGAGACAATCTTTTGTCAGGTAGACGATCATTACAATTAGGTTTGTTCCTTAATTGAGCAAAAAATTATTTTCATAATCATAAAAACAGATCTGAGAAGCATAATTCAGTTTCGCTTTTCGAAAACAATTATAACAGAAAATACATGTACATGTATAACAATAAAAATTTGTTATGATCATTTAACAATCGAGCATAACAAACTTCAAAAAACATTAACCTTTAGTTAAAAAGACTGATCTTTAACCATTAATATTTTAAACATATTGAAATCAAACATTGATAAATTCAGAAATCATGGATAAAAAGATAAATGCCAAAATGAGAAAAAGTCAAAATTTAGCTATGACATTACCGTAGCTATGGCCGCCCTATACTGTACTCTGTAAATTATGCAAACAAATGTTATCTGATATGCAAGTTTTTGAAACACACTTCTTATATTAGAAGGGAAGATTTAAGTTCCAGCTTTAAGCACCATAAATCTTTTCCGACAATAAATAATTTGTCAGTTTCTTTATTTAGCATGCATATGTTTCTTTTATTTATTGCTAATGTAAAACAAATATAAGAAGAAGCTACAGGTATATAGGAAAAAATAGGATCAGCTTACGTTTTGACCATTTCCTTCCTTGTTTTAGAAAAAATAAATTTAAATAGGCATGGACCATTTCAATGTACTAACATTCAAAGATCTTTCAAACATCACACGTATATTCGTTGTGACAAGACTTTCAACGGGTATATAAATATATATTAACTGTATGTTGGACCTTTTGACTTTAGCCTTAGATTTTGACACAGTTTCAAAAAGACCTTGGCCATACATGTTCAATCAATAATGTCCTGAACTGTTTGACAAACAATATAGATATCATATAACATTAAACTTGACTTTCTCTCATTATTGAATCTTTAATGAATTTATAACAGTTTTCGTGACCACTTTTCATCACATAGTTTCATCGTGAGAAGCTGGGAAACAAGGGCTATTCGAGACACAGCATTATAAATGAATGGCAAAGAATCAGTAAACTAGAGTGAAAATAAAAGCTTCATTATAGCTGCTGTAAAACGTTAAAAATCCGAAAGAAATATTCACTGAAATATGTGACATTTACAGCAACCAATGCCTGCTTTATACACAAATGAGCAGGTGGATTTATATAATGGCAATCAAAAAATGGTACCGTCCTTGCCACAAAAATCATAATAACGTATGCACTGTTCGCCAAATTTCAACAAATAATAATTGATGATGTATGTTTCACTTTGAAATTGAATACTGTTCGTTATCTCCATATCCTTCTTTAAGACACATAGCAAAATTGATAGACATCATATCGGGAGTAGTTTACACTGTTTTTAAGAAACGTTTGACGGTAAAAAAGTTTGGTACTCAAGAGTCACCCTATATTTTGAAAAATGAATGAAAACGACAGTGTGTACGAAACTCTTAACAATTATTTTAAAATATCAGTAATTGTAGTTATCCACATTTGTTTTATATTCAAACAGATATTGCAACATGAATCTATTGCTTAAAACCCTAAAAGCTAAATTTACAATAAGATGTACTTGATAAAAACGGCGAAGGTCTGACAAGAGCAAAGGTATGCAAGAGCAAAAAGACATATTTATCTGCAATTTTCTTAAATATTAGTGGAATTGTAGTTCAAATTCGTATTTGGGAAGACAGTTTAATTTCTGGAGAAGTCTAGAAAGCAATTTTTGGCAAAAAAAAAAAAATCGAAAAGTTTATTAGAGAAAGGACCCAAAATCAGGAATCCACAACATTGAATGTCTTCATGACAGCGTCCAATCCCGCCCGCCCTGAAGAGTAAAGGGGTTTTCGGGATAAATAGAAAGTTAATGTTTGTTCACATTAACAATATTCGCCAGATCTTTGACCTTTTGACTTGTTTCTATTTCCAAACTTGAAAAAACACCTTTCAGAAGGAAGAAACTAGTCCAGGAAATCATTGGATTTGCCATTTTCCAGTACACTAAGGTCATACCTTAAATGAGTTCTAAAGAGAATCAGAAATTAGATAAAAATTGTTACAGACATTTGTTTTAATTAAAAGAAATTAATAAGTAAAAACATGAAGACTAAATCATTGGAAAGCGTTTTTGGCTTCTTTCTGAGCACAGAGGACATTATTTATTGAACTGCCCTCGTAACTTTTGAACAGTTAACACTAAGGCTTTTATATTTCACACATGTTTTTATATGAAAATACATTTCTTTGGATACCAACATCTGCATTCCATCTATCCTTCTGTATTCAATAATCCAGAAGTAGGAAAGAATGAGATAGTTTAAAAAATCAGTACTTACTGGTCCTGCTGATAAAGCAGGTAGAACACTTTCTTCGTTTCTAATGCTCGTTATATAAAATTGTATTTTAAAGAACATTTATTTAATTTTACAAGTAGCAATCCAGCTTGCACTCATTCTGAGGTAGAAATTCTTCAAAATCATTGTCTTCGTTTCTAAGGCCTGTTATGTAAATTGTACTAACTTGGATTTCATTCTACAGGTGGTAATCAAACTTATACTCATATTTCATTTTCTAAGGAAGAAATTGTTCAAATTCATATGTAAGTTTTAAATATTTTTAATATCCAGAAGACCAGATGAATTTGAATTGCCATATCTTTATTGGATTGCGAAACGTCCAAAATAAACCTTACAAAGATACATAGCGGGTTCCAGTATATGTTAAACCAAGCCTCTTTCTTTACTCCTCACTAAGATATATGAGGAGAAACCTCAAGAGTACTGTGCAGCAATATATTGGTGGTTTAAATCAGATGTGGATACACTTGAAAATCCTAATCCAATAACGTGCGGGTGATCTTTATCTTACTTTGCGAAAGGTTTTTAATGCTAGAATTTTCTAGAGTTGAGACATACTTTAGTAAAATGTGCAGGAGTAAAGCAGCATATTAATGTCTGTTTGAAAAGGCTACGTTTTATTCATTTCTTTCTAAAATGCAGGTTGTCATGGACGCCTAGTTAACATATTTGAGATTGTTTTTCCGTCGAAAAGACCCGAGAAGTTGTAATTGGACATGACACGGAATTCCCGATGTATAGAAATATATATTTAATAAGTACAAATCACGGATTGTTTTTCCGATCAGGAAGTAATATTTAATTGTAAATAACTGTCATCACATTCTTACATTTCAAAGTCTGTCAAAGATTTATTGAAAGCCTAAAAGCCGTAAGTAAGAAAAAATTTTCTTAATGAATTATGGTACAATAACATGTTTTTAGACATCCTATGATCTTTAAGTTTGTCACGTGCAAACACAGGTACTGCAACATAAGGAAGTTAATGTTAATTAAAAATATGGCATGTGCATGACTACTTTTTATACATTTTTACAAATTTTACATTTACATTAATTTCCAGTGACTGTATGCTCTTGGAGGTCTCAACACGTCTATTTCTTCAAGTTAAATGCATATCATGTAAAGTATACAGAATCGACTTATTGCGTCAGGCAAACAAAAATCCACAGAGAGTTAAGACAGCGTTAGAATCTAACAATCGAATAGAAATAAAATTCCCCAACCCCTCAAAACTAAAATGATATTAATCTTTACCTTAAGGACATACACAAGGTACCTTACCTACCGATGATTTTTAAGATATTCTAAATTTTAACTTATAATAAATGTTCTAAGACAAAAAAATCAGCATGCGTTACCAAAGGTTTTGAAAATATATCAAATTATGAACATTTCTTCATCATTCAAAGAAAAAAAATAAACAATAATAATTACAAAACATAATTTGTTTTAGAAGAGGTGTACAAATTCTTTTAAAGACATTAAAAGTATAACATAAAACTCCCTCATTTAGTGGAACTCTTCAACTCCAGGAAAGAACCCTAAAAAGTCCAAATTAGGTTGCTTATGACCTTCAACTATTATATATTACAATCATTTATTAAATAAACAATGCGTAGTTTTATCAATCATTCAAAAGGGTTTTCAGTGCATCTTAAACGCAATTGTTAGTCCACACCATTCTTTTTAAATACTGATTTCGATGTATCATTAGAAAACTTTTAAAAATTTAAGTTTTAGTGTTAACTGTATTTCAGAAAGTGTCATTAGTACATTGCCCTGAGGTCATAAACATGTATATATAGATACTAATAAGGAAAATCCTTCCTCTCTGAATTCAAAAAATATAAGTTAAAAGCAACAATCTGCAGTATACGAGGGTTGTTCAATAAATAATGTCCTCGATGCTCGGAACAAAACAAAAAACGCATTTCAATGCTTTAGTCTTAATGATTTCACTTAAATATTCTCTTTTAATTAAAAGATATGTCCGTAACATTTTTATCCAATTAATTTTAGACGACCTTATTTTTAGTATGACCCTTCGTATACTGGAATATAGTAGATCCTATTATTTTTTCCCGGACTTATTTTGTTTGTTTCTGAGAGGTGTTTTTTCAAGTTTGAAAAATGATCCAAATCAACGGGTGAAAGATCTGGCGAATATAGTTGGTGTCACAAAACATTATCTATCTATTTATCCCCCAAAACTCCTTTACTCTTCATGATGCCTATCTCTTTTGCTATGTGTGTTAATGTCAATCAAGCATCATTAGTGATAATTATTTGGTAAACAAAGAATTGGTTATTTTAAGTTCTCATCACCAATGGCGTACTCATTTTAATGCAGCGAATAGCCCTTGTTTTCCAGCTTCTCACAAAGAGACTCTGTGATGAAAAGTCGTCACATAAGCTGTTATAAATTAATTAAAGATTCCATCATAAGAGAAAGTCAAGCTTAATAAAATCCGATTTCTATGTTGGATGTCATAGACCTCAGGACATAATTTATTGAACAGCCCTCGTATTTTGCAAAGTAGGTCAAAGGTCAAGAAGTCTGTAATACTGGTATTTTTAAAAATTTTATGACAAACAGTGCATATGCTAAATAACATCGAGTTTCCTCTCAAATGTACAAGAAATGCATCCAGGTACCGTAATCTATTTCATAATGACACCGGGTGAAGTGACTCCTAAGTTTTACATAAAGAATATCCTTTACGGTCGCACTCAGGCGTGTGTGTACATGTATTTGGAAAGGGGTTGTTACAAGTCTTATTTTGAAAAAAATCTGTTTTGGATGAATCAGTTGGGAGGATAAAGTTGGTTTGGCGTACTGCTTTGAACACTGGGGTAGCTACCGTCCTTTAAATTGCCATACACATACTTAAATACTTTTTACAATGGTAGAAACGGGATCCAAATGATCCAGGTCTAGCATAGTATATAATTATAATATAGAGTGAAATGTGAAATGAAACAAATACTCGACCCGATTAATAAAAGTCGCAAGTACAAAATACATTAAAATACTTATCATAATTGTGTTCTACATGAATTTCGACAACGCGGCTAGCGTTTAACAAAATACGCTTTATACGTCGGATACAAACCATCGTGATTAATATCCTTCCTTTTTAATTCATTTGTACATGTAAAGTGGTTTGTATTATTTATAAGCAGGACGCAAATGGTCATAAACATGTAAACGTATACAAAATTTAATTTTAACCCCTCTCCTAATTGGGTAAAAAAGGAAGTGCCTTTTAATGGACTTTTGATTTTTTTTTTTGACTGATATTTTGGTACCCAACTCCATCCATGACATTTAACAACACTTTTCACGGTAGCTCAGTCGGTAGAGTGCTTGCTCCGTGATCGGAAGGTCATGTGTTCAAATCACGGCCGCAAATGACTGACTGACTGAACTAGATAAAAAGAGGTAGAAACTGTTACTTCACAAGCGCCAGGCACTGAATTGAAAAATCTTTTTTAAAAACATGGCATTGTGACACTTAAGTCATGGGCACAATAAAGATCGTCACTCACAGAAGGCATTCAGTGTAAAGTAAAGGTTAAAAATTGAAGCATTTCACCGCTTTAAGGTAACGTCTCTATCTGAGTGAAAACATATCAAATAGGACATAAAACAAAATACAGACAAACATAGCAATGGCTCTGAGTGCCGAGTAAAGGTCTAATTTTGAAGCCCTTCAAATATATTGTGATGTTTCTATATGAGTGGAAAATTCTCTGAAACAACAATCAATCAATCATTTGTAGATTGAAAATTATTTGGTATGATGTACAATAATATGGAATACCTAAACAAAATGAAAATGATCCAGCAATTCAAATGGAAATTTCAGTTTTGTGTTGAGCTACGGAGATTTTTAAAAAATTTCTAGTGCATATTTTAATAAACATAACATAAACTGCATTTCACTCAGATATGTTCATTAGTCTTATTTCATTGTATGGTAAGGTTCACGTCTTTTGATTCGATTTTTTCGCAGTCAACATGCATATTATGTCTGATAATTGAATATACTAGAATATAATATACATTGCATGCAGATTGATTGCTTGTAGAGTCATATGTTAATATTTTCATTCACTGTGTTTTTCTGCTAAGCCAACTGTGAAATTGATTTGAATACCACTTTCGTGTATACTCACGTGTAGGATTGTACACGGAGAAACGAACGTCACCAATGAGGCTGCAGCGACGTTAGTTAAAATGCAACAAAAAAGGCAGCGAATATTTCAAATATTGAGTATACTAGTATTTTAGTTGCTTCCAACCATGTAAAATGTAAATATTATAAATGTTTTTAAGTTTAGTGTGAATTATTGGTGTGTGAATCACACAGACTTGAACGTATGCATATTTTTAGGAAGTGCTAGCGCGCTTCATGAAATATGCCTCCGTGACAAGTCTGTGTGATTAACACACCAATAACCCACACAAAACTTGAATACATTCCTTAACTAAACTTACATAGAATGTAAGAGGTGAAGATAATGAAAAGTGATCAATCTTATAAAGTCTACAGACAATACAAATATATGAAGATGGCATAAAACATGAACCCTGACAATGCCTATATTTGAATAGAACACATTTCTTTTTCTTTTTTTTTACACTAACTTATTTCTTTTCAGATGGCATTATCTAAAATTAATATTCCTCAAGCTGCTCAACACTTTTTAGAGTGTGACACTGAAAAATGTGAAGGAAACTGTGAGTTCTATTGCAACCCTTGTCATCGCAGATTGTGCAAACAGTGCACAGATAAGCATCTGAGAAATGCAAGAGGCAAAAAACATGAGGTGGTCCTTTATGGTCAACGTAAACGCCATTTTCCTGCGGAGAAATGCAAAATCCACTGCAATAAAGATGTAGCCATGCTCTGTGAAGAATGCCAAGTTCCTGTATGTTCCAAATGTGTAATACACCAAAACCATCGAGGACATATATTTACTGATCTAGAGACAATTTTTGCAGAAAGGTATGCAAACTTTCAACAAGAAATCTTTAAAATTAGGGAGTATTTTCTACCTACATCACAAGTTATACAGAAAGATATTAAAAAGGAGTCCTCAGAAATCAAACACATCATGGACAACATCAGAAGATCCATGAAGACTGAATTTAAGTCCCTGAAAAGTTTAGTAGACTTAGTCATATCTGAGAACATTAAGCAGTTAGACCAGATAGAGCAATCGCTGTTAGAAGATCTAAACACCCAAGACAAGACCATGGATGAATACATCGCTTACCTTAATAACCTTGTCAAAGAGCTGCAAAGATGCCTGTCCTCTACAGAAACCCACAAATTAATGTCTGAGAAGAAACCAAAGATCCGATCCATACCAGAGACAACAAAACCAGTCACACCAAGATTAATTGCTGGCCATTTCAGCAAAAGTAATATCACTCAATTACTTGGAGAAATATATTTCCCAAATGTTAAAGCACAGAAAAGAGAAATTAGATCCTTGGAAAATGTCTACAATACAGCAATGAAACCTACACAAAAACAAGTGAAAAAAGACAGACAAAAATCTGACAATAAACAAACAATGTCTTTATCTGCCTCTGTCACTAAGGTCAGGGAGTTCAGTGTACCAGGTGTTAGAAGTATATGCCATACATCATTAGATCAATCAGGCAGACTCTGGATCAGCGACAGTGAGGGTAATCTTGTCCAAACAGATCTACTGGGAAATGCGATGCAGAAGGTAGAAACCAGTTGGGAAGATGAAGGTTACCACACAGTCACACACGACGGTGATTTGATCTTTACAGACCAAGACAAGAAAGTCATCAACAGGATTGCAACGGGTAACAATATCGCTGAATTCATTATTACTGGAGTGTGGGAACCAATCAGCATTCACTCCTCTCACATCAACGGGGACTTACTTGTGGGGATGTTGAGGATTACAGAAGATAGAATAAGGTTTAAAGAAAAAAAATAACAAAGAGAAAAGTAAAGTCGTCAGGTACAATAAACTAGGAAAAAAACTACAGAGCATAAAGAGGGATGACAAAGGACAGAGCCTGTATGGAGTACCACATTATATCACAGAAAACATCAATGGGGATATCTGTACATCAGACTTTGATATAAGAGCAATAGTGGTGGTGAATAAATCAGGACAACACAGATTCTCCTACACCGGCCAGAAATCAGAGATACATCCCTATGGAATCTGTACTGACGTCCTCGGTCACATCCTGTTGTGCGATGGATTCTTTAATAATAAAACTGTTCACCTCCTTGATCGGGACGGCCAGTTCTTGTCTCTATTACTCACGCCACAACAAGGGGTACGCTGTCCCCGAAGTGTATGTGTGGATGATAAGAACAATCTCTATGTAGGACAATATGGAACAAACATACTGACAGTGTACAAGTATCTCCACTGATTCTTTTTGGGAACTACAAACCATGACTTCTCCCATATCAGTCTTTTGATGTGAACATATTGAGTTGTAAATATCAAAATATGTACTTATCCAATATTTTTGTTATTTTATATTAAATTTACGACTAATTGCCACAAAAAGTTTTTCTTAACTGTTTTATTATTATAGGTACACTACATATCGATGTATCAAAATGTAAACAACAAGGTTAATATACTCTTAGGAAAAGAATTGTAAATTTTTGATGTGATTTATTTATATTTTTTGGAATGTATTTTCCAATATTATCACCTAAAATTTATACACATCGGTATTCAAAAAGTTAAGAAAATCTCATTTTATTTTGACGGATAATTTAAGGGGGCCGACTGGGGTTTTGTTGTATGAAAACTACAATAAGGAAACTCTTCATTTTTATACTATATATGACTTTATCAACTTCAGTGTACATGCAAAGTTTGGGGGAAGTCTACCGTCCATGTATTCTTAAGGGACCGTCTCAAAATACAGACCTGTACATTTACTATAGGATTATATAGGCAATTGCCAATTTTTAGTCCTTTCAAGCAAATTATACAAATGCTACAATAGACTTTTTGTTCAAACAAAAATATTTCAATTATTGAGTAATACTATACTATACAATGTATCTAAGAAACACAAAATTCTGCCGTCTTGTTACGAGAGGGGACATCTCAAAATGCCAAAAATTTAAGAATTTTCCTGTTTTTATGGAGTACTACAAAATATGACAGGCACGAAGGATTCATATAAAAACATAATAAAAAATAATAGAGATATTTTCAGATTTCTGTTTTAAATTTCAAGAGCTTTTGTTGATTACTTTTTCTTTAATGACATTTTTATTTCCCCTTTCTTTAAGAGCTTCAGTTAATCATAACGTAAAAAACTCACTGTAACAACGTCAACCTACCCATCAATTGCAAAATTATAATTACATTTTTACACCAATAATTTCTTAATTTTGTTTAAGTTTAATATTTCTAGCGAAAAAGTTGCTTTTAAACAGTAAATGCATGTATGCTTTATTTTACTATGATGCGCGAAATATTGCGCAATGGAAACCACAGTCGGCCCCCTTAAGAGCAATTTAAATTAGTCTCAAGGTACCCCCAAGGAGTGAAATCAGATTCTAGTCATTATCTCATGTCTCCCTTGCGCATTGGTCCCGTGCATGGAATTTTTGGATACATTATCTTTGTCGAAAGGATATAATCAAACCTTTCCAACAAGGTAGCCCATAGCTAGTCAAGAGTGGCTTGGATATTCCGACGCCGTCCAGGCAGTTGAACATTGTTCAAAGTTGGACTGTATCACACAGTGTCAAGTTGGATACGAGAAAATATTGACATATTTTAGATCAAAGGTATTACACATCTTCACGTGACTTTTCAAAGTATTTCCCCGGAAAATAGCTACGAAAAAGAAATAGCAAGATTTAATAACATGTGCACACATATTTTTGTAGATTTCTTACCTACATCACTTTTAAGGAGCTCATAATACTGTAAATAGGGTTATTTTCGCTCCGTTTAATTTTCGCCCTTTCACACTTGCAAACAATTTTGCCCCGTTTTAAATTTGCCCATTCAAAGTTTTGTTACAGATATTATATGTATTATTTTATTTCGTCCCGTTTTAAATTCGCCCAAATGAGCATAAGGCGAAAGGGGCGAAAATAAAACGGGAGCAAAAATTTCCCTGTGTACAGTATATATATACCTATATAATAAATATCAATTTTTATATGAGAAAAAATCAAAAGGATGAAGTCATTTAAATTACATAGAATAAGAATAAAGCTCAAGTGCATGATCGGCCTTCCATTTAATTTTCTAAAATAATAATGTAGACACTCATCTTACTTACATGTATCTGTATTCGAAATTTTGTTTCGTTTAATTGAAAACTAAGAAATCCATAAGCATTTAGTTTCAGCTAATCCAGTTCCAGTGTACATGCATGCGCGTGATGTCATTTATACTCTTTATGTATCCCCTAATATACACCTTAATTTAAAATTTTGAAGAAAATTTTTTGGTGAAAATAATACCTTTGTAGGAGGTTTTAACAAATACTATGAATTACATTTTATTTGCGAGTACCTTCTTTCCGCTTAATTACGAGATACTGCCTACTTGCAATTCCTATATATCCCCAGTGTTTGAACCTAAACAAATCATTATAATTTTTAATGTTGATTAAGTGTGACCCCTATTCCTATTGTTTTATTTTAGTTAATGTCTTACATATCAATATATATATTATTTTATTATATGCATAACGTGTATCACTCTATTCTACTGTTGAATTCACGTAATCACGTGACGACGTGATCCAACTTTCCGGATCACCACACTGTGGTTTTCTGAATCCATATCACCACTCTATGAAAATGATGACGTAGTGCGCAGTACACACATTTTTTTCTTGCGCGGACAACTTTTTTCCATAGTAACAATGCCGATAGTAATTAATCTCAGTGTAAACAAGTCAATATTCGTTCGTTTCATAGATATTTATGCAATTGATATATGTATAATAAATTGATTGAAAACAAAAATAAAAGAACCAAATTTACAAGATTATTTAATAATTAAGCTGTATTTTACTTGTTAGCTAAAACTAGGATTTCGTCTGCATCTTTACATTCTTATAACTGCACACAGTAAAACCTGCAAAATGACAGAATTACCAGAAGTGGGCGATTCAGACTTTTTATCTGATTTTAAACTTATTGACAACATCATTAATTCTGACGTAGACTTGGCTGGTATTCTTAATTAGGATAATTCTGCTATGCTGCCTGAAGAAATCAAGCAAAATGTAAGTGTAGAAAATTCAAAAGAAAACAAATATCAAAGAAATGCAGTAACTTTATTGAGATATCTGATAAAAGAAATCAAATTTTATTGAAAACATGAAAAACAAGAACACTGTAAGGAAAACACAGTCTGCTGTAAAACAATTCACTAAATGGCTGCAGCTGAACCCTAGAAACGAAACTCGTGAAATTAACAGAATACAGACAAGTGTACTGGGCAACTTCATAGGATCGTCTCTTCTATCCATACGGAAGGCGGATGGGTCAGAGTATGAGCCAATCACATTGACCAGCTACCATCTCTCTACTGACAGATACCTGAAAGAAAACAAATACCCTTACAGTCTAGTAAATGACAAAGAATTTGAAACTAGCAGACCTTTTTTAATATCAAAAGGAAAAGAGCTCAAACAAAAAGGCAAGAGTAGAAAACACAACGCGGCCGAGCCATTAACCGTTTCCGAGGAAAACAAGTTAAAGGAAAAAGCCTGCATTGGCTTGCATAGCCCAAGGCTTTATTAAACAAAATATGGCTACAAAACACTATGTTATTTGGCTGATATTGAATTATGTAAGGATGAAAATGGGAAATAATAACTAGAATTTCATGAATGTGCTACAAAAGCTAGAACAGGAGAAGTTACTCATCTTCGAGCTTTCAGGCCAAAACAATTTGCTAATCCAGAAGATCCCCTTACAAAACATTCCGGGACCGTAGACTACCTTCTACTAAAACGCCGAGCAGTCCTTTCAATGTTGCCGTATATCACAAAAAGACTCCCAACTCTCAGTTCTGGTAAAGAACCAACCAATTGGAGAAAATTATCTTTGCTCCATAATGAAAGACATGGCAACCAAGGCGAATTTACCTAGAAAGAAAAATCATTCTGCGAGAAAATCAACATGTACGCGCCTGCTTCATGCAGGGATTGCCCCGACCACGATTCAACAACCCACTGTGTGAATAACTATGCGGTAGCTTCAATCGAAATGCATAAAATACATGTATGAGCGGCATTTTAACCAACAATGAAAATACCATAAACCATCATTCAATAAATAAAAAATCAGTTTCTACAAACCGATTCTATTTACCGTTTCCAAAAAAAGATACACCTTAAGCATGTTCAGGCCTTGCGTCAAGTTTATATCGAGAAAATTTTGAACCTCTCTATCAATTCCACCAATTCATCCTTTCGAAACAATTTTTTTAAAGGACTGAAATTTTTATTTTGGGAGAATCCATCATCATGTTATATCTTTTATACTGGTGTGTTCTCCCTTTTTTCTCTTTTATTGATAATAATCATTGATATAGATAACAAAAATAAAAATATTTATACTAATAATGATGATAATAATAGATTGGAGAAGCTATGACAAATTCGATAAATACATGTATAATGGAACTATAAAGAATACAATATGTTCCTATGTTAGCATGATGGGCCACCTTCCACACTTTCAAGAGTCCATAATGCCCTCATGCTAACACATACACTCCACAACTGGTTTTATGGACCTGCTTGTATCAAATATTTACATTTACAAATTGATACAAACTTTTTTCAGCAATTTGTGAATCTGTACATTGTCATATGAAAATTCTGCAATATACTGATATGTATTTAAAGATGATTTAACAAGCTAATTCAGAGAATTCGTGTCCCCCGCTTAGGGAAAAAATCGGATTCCCCTGACTGAATTTGTAGAATTATTAAAAGTATACAAGTATACTGAAGCAAATAAAATACATGTATGTTAATATGCATATAAAGATTTGATTGCTTATTCTTTATTATGTGTATAGAAGATTCTTTTTATATGGAATATTTATCACACTGTAATGATGATTTTATAACCTCATAAATTTTTCATTTCACATGCTGAATACTATCATTTAGTAAAAAAAAAAAGGATCGGTCGAGATCCGATCCCGTGACCTCTCACATGTGGAGCGAGAGACATACCCCTAGACCACGGAATCGCTTTTACATAAGGTCAAGTATATGCAGAACTGAAGTCACATACATGTATATATTCATGTTCGGTATTCTCAAAATTTTACACAATCCATGGTGTTTGATTTATTTAGCCTTTATTAAACAGTTCTAATAGATGTAATAAGAACATAAAGTCCGCCGAGAACCTGTTTTATACGCAATAACTCTCCTCATGCCCCTGTG